ATATGTATACATTCATTCAAGTTTATTTGCTGTATATTTTTTAGCTTTAATATCATTACATATTAATATTTTCGTAATAATGATAAACATTGATAAAAAAAATAATTTTAAAAAAATAGATTATTACTGTATATTATATATACAGTAATAATATTAAAAAATATATATATAAAATATATATAAAATATCTATAAAAAGATAGATTATAATATAAAAATCTTATACATAAGAGAGATTATGTGTAAAATTTTTGATATCAAATCATCGTAATGTTATATTTTTTTAAAGATTTATGAAAATTTGTATAAAAATAAAATATTGACAATTTTCTATAGAAGAAAAAAAATAAAAAAAAATAATTTTTTAAATTAGAAGAAACAACAAACATATTATTATCAAAATCAATTTAAAAAAAAATTGTAATTTTGGATATGAAAATATAATAAAGAAACATAAATATTATAAATTATAATAAAGTAAATAAATATTTGAAATATTTCTGTCTATCAGAAAGAAAAAAAATAATTAGAGAATTAAGATGAGATAAATGAATATAGAAAACAATGTTTCAAAATTAAAAATTGTTTCTTAGATTTTACAATTTAGTAAAAAGTTTTCTTTTTTAGAAATATTTGCCTTCAATTCTACAAGAATCTCTTTAAATTATGTTTTATTGCTTCGGGTCAATATTATTGCTATGGCAACGGGAAAGAAAGTAAAAACATCCTTTACGATCCACTCTTACAACTTTTGCAAATCATTTTCTTTCCTTTCAGGATACTTTTACTCTCTCAAATCGAATAATGTTGTGTTATTCTTAGTGCTGATTTTCCATTCTTCTCACGACTTTTCATTGAGAGAAAAGATTAATCTGTTTCTTTCACAAATGTAAATAAAATAACTTTTTCTTTTTAATATTTATTATGTATTTATATTTTTCAATCCAAATGCTATTAACAATTTACAATAATAAACAATTTAGTTAAAACCAATATTGAAAATTAATATAAAGTTTATTATATTTATAAAGTTTTTTTTAGTTTTAAGTATTAAATAATTATAATATAATATAATATTAAAATGTAATTCTAAATTTTATAAAATTTTATAAATATTTTTAAAAGTTATTTTTATATATGTTATTATTATATATGTTATATTAAATTAACAAATAAATCAATTAGACTAATTCACATATTTTATTTCTATAAAATTTTAAAATTATGAGTATACATTAATTTTAAAATAAATA